GTCTATGAAACGCAGGAGATCAGTTGAATTCACTTCTCCGTGTACAACTATGTGACGAAATATAAAATCTCTGTATTGCCTCCGCACAGCAAGCTTGTGCAACGCAAATCGAACAAGTAACGTTTCATAATGGTAAAAATATTTCCTTCCAATATAACGGTCACACACAATTCTAATCATTCGTTTTTGTATATTTTCTATTGAAAAAACCTGAGATAGCGTTAATGAATTCCAAATGATTGAGCCAAAATCTAATCTTGACCTCACTAATGTCTTAAACAAGTGCAGTAAGCAACGGGGCGTAGAAAACTGGCGACACAACCGTGAAATCATTTCTAACACTCTCAGTGCTGCATTAACGGTTATAGACACGTGATTATTAAAGGATAGTGAACTATCGATGAATACACCAAGATCCTTGATAAAAGGAACCCGAGGAATCGGGGCCCCTCCCAAATTATATAAAAAATAAAGTATGTCACGCTTTCTGGAAAACACAATTGATTTAGTTTTCTTGGGGTTAAGTGACAAGCGGTTTTTGGCACACCATTTAGAAACACGTTCTATGTCAGCATGGAGACGGGAGCAATCAGATAGTGACCTCCACACTTATAAAAAGCTTAACATCATCGGCAAACAAAATAATTTTTGCATCTGTAATACGGGAAGCAAGATCATTTATGAACAAAAGGAATAAAAGTGATCTCAGGATGGATCCCTGGGGTACACCAGAACTTGAAATAAACTCGTCAGAGTAGCTATCAGAAATGCGAACAGAGTTCCGACTACCAATGAGATACGTGGAAAACCACGCGCAAAGATGCGGGCTGAAACCATGCAAGGCAAGCTTCTGTAGCAGTAAATTATGACATACACAATCGAACGCTTTCGACATGTCAAAATAAATTGCATCTACCTGTCCCCTGATTTATCTGTATGGCCTGCGGCATACATGGCATCTGATTTATTTGTATGGCCTGCGGCATACAAATAAATCAGATGCAATATACGTTTTCGTCACAAGATCGCATATTTAAATAAACTAAGGTAGAATTAAGATGTGGAATTCTCAAATGTAAAAAAAAACGGGAAAGAATAAAGCATCTTCTGGATCTTCGCTTTCCCAAAAAAGCAACTCATTAATTAATCTTCATAATTATCGAAATCAATATATAAGAGTGCGGTGCACTTTTCCAAATCCGCGCAAGAAAAATAGAGGAATTGATTCGGTCGCCTTTACGTATTAATTAAAAAAAGTAAGTATAATAACCCAACTTTCTGAACAGATTTTTCTTTGATTTCGTCATGGTTTGAAGGCTGTCATTCGCTCACCAGTAACGTGTGGTTCCTTCGAATCGCAAGTTGGTAATGGCGATGGGGGAGGGGGAATGGCAGACAGAATTGGGGCAAGCACTCGAAGAAGATCGCATAAATCCTTCCAGGGAAGACGTAAGAGATGCGAGGGATTCAACGACCATTTGGAAGGGCGCCAAGTGACGCTCCCAACTCCTGGAAGTCGTTGGCCTCTTTTCGGTAAACGGATTTCGTTTACCGCCCCAGGCGTATCATCCGAAGGTCCTCTTGCATCAATATCTTTTTTTTACATCCGAATTAGCTGTCGAGTACGGGAACAGAAAGGGAAACTGGTTCTCCAAGTGTTCGGTTGCTACACGGGGGTCAGAACGATTTGTGATCACGTTCCCAAAAGGCGAAAAGGATTTTTCTTAGAAACAGCACGCAATGCCTTGTTCTTTTCTTTACATTGGGGATATTGTTAGAACTTCTAAAACTCCTAAAATACTATAAATTATTCGAAATAAATTTAGTTTGGGTTGGCGCTATGCAGATGACGAGCAATTGCTTGCTCAGCTGTATCGATGCTCGAGATGTCTGCTTTACATAAAAAAAAAGAAATTTTGTTAGGAGATAGTTGCTCTAGTTTTCGTCCGCTGAAATCGAATAAAGCAAGGAACATGGGCATGAGTAAGTGTTAAGCGTCTTTATGTCAGCAAAACGCACAGCAATAGTTCTAGATTATTCGGTCCACCTTATGCCGGCTGTGATTTGCCGAAGTTGAGCCTTGGCCCGAAGAAGAAGCCTTAAAGGGACCCTGCAATACTATTTAAGCGTCTACCTTTTTTGTCGTTTCCACGTCTCTTATGGTTCGGGGGACCCAGCGGGCATGGAGAGAGTAACTAAATATCAGTGCGTCATTTTTTAACCGGACGACGCGGAAACCTCCTCATTCATTGGGGGTGCCCCCCGTGGTGTCGAACGCGCGCGGCATGTGACGAAATCGTGACGTTGTTGGTCCTCTTCAGCCGAGGAGGGAGATATGCCCTTTTCCCGCGGGCAGCTCTTTCTCCTCGGCCTAACCTCCTTTCCCCATCTTCCCCTTCTTCCCCACATGTCTCAGTCACCGCGGTCCGCGGGAGCAGAAAAAGGGAGGGGAGGGGGGGGGGGGGGGTCAGAGGAACAAGGACTTTATGCTTATTTTTGTAATTTTAATATGCTGATAACTTTAAAACATAAGCTATTATCGGCAAAAAAGCTCACTAAGTGAGCTCAGGCTCGCGAAAAAAAAACAGTAAAAAGGTTGTTGCAGGGTCCTATTAACCCGAAGAAGAAGAAGAAGCCTCAACCCGGAGAAGAAGAAGAAGTTAGCCCAGATTTACAGACTCTGGCGATTTGTTGGAGGCGGGGCGGCGGTGAGGTACAACAAGAAGCGGCGAGCGAGGGAATGGCGGGGCCATCCCTGGGAGAAACGACCGAAGGAGTCGGTTTGGGAGGGGCCCGATACTTGGGCGCCATCTATCCCCGTGCGAGTGAAGCGCTCGGTGCGCCGAACATAATGTGGCTGCCGCGTCAGACGGAGAGTCATCACCTAAATGTGTTTCTTCCATTGTGGTCAGCTCCACACGCACAAAAAAAAGACACGCTTACGCAGCGCTGACTAACAACTCTTTGGTATATTTACTTTCGTCTTTGCCTTTTTTTTTGGTATTATGGACTAGGGCCATGGAGAATATTTTTTTTCTTTATCTTCAATAGAACGGTAAACCGTAAGTCAGAAACTAAAATTAAAATTAATTTTATTTATTTTTAGTTTTAATGTTAATTTAAGTTTAATTTTAAGTTTCGTGTGGCCGGCCGCGCCAGCTGGGCCGCCTTGGCCGAGCGCCCAGCCCGAGGTAGTCTCGGAGGCGAGCGCCACCGCGTGTTGTTTGGGTACAACACGCTGGCAGACCGACCGCAATGGGAGAGCAAGCCACCTGGCAGGCAGAGTAGTACAGTAGGCGATGGCTAGACATATAAGACCCCGCTCGTTGCCACACTGTAAAACCGCCTCTAGTGGGTGGAGTGTCTGGCTCGCTACCCACGGGTCGTGGGACTCGAATCCCGCCTACGTCTAAACTTCTTAGATTTTTTTTTCTTTAAGACGAAATAAATATTTTATGAATTGAAATCGTTTGAGATATTGGCGACTATGAATTCGAATTGCATAGCATGTTTTATACATTTTTTTCACAAGGGCGCAGCCATCTTGAACGTCGGCACTTCTGATGTGCGGTAAAACGTAGTTTTGATCTCTCCGCGCCGCTGGAAGGTGTTCACAAAAAATGCGTGATTGTAATACGTTCTTGTTTCGTCTCGCCTACATTTTCACACATATTCCGGGATGAAATGTTTTATTATTTTTCCGTGCCGCATACCAGACACAGAATTCACGCGACTGAGAACGGCTCGAAACATATAATATACATTGACTTTCATGTCACGCGTAACTTGTTGTTTCAGATGAGTGTTTTCGGCTGCTTGAAATTCCCACGCGAGGTCATATGGCTGTGACGTCAATGCCCTATCGACCATTCAAGATTTTCCCGTTGTACGCCACCGATTACGACCCCCCCCTTTTTTTTCTGCGTTACTAATTTTTTAAGGTTATCGCTTTAAACGTTATTCATACGAAAGCATTACATGCCCGATTACGCAAAATTCTGGCGTCTTCGGCGGCGTGACCGAGCAATGTACCGAAAATGGCCGACGTCAAAAATGCTCCTATTGACGTCAAATTTCGCAGGGACGTCCCTGCAAACGAAGTAACCCAATTCCTTCGAAAAACAAATTTGGTACGTTTCGGCCTGGGTAAAAATCGACCCCTACCTCCGGGCTGCAAGTGGAGCACATTTCCCCGACGTCACGGCGGCTCCACGGTTCTGGCTGACTGAAGGGGTGCCTAGGGCGTGCGTCATTTCAGACACCACGTCGCAGCCATCTTGCTGTCAAAGGGTGTGGCCTAGTGCGTGCGTGACGGCACAGCCAACGGAGAAGAGGTGGCGCCACATCATGAGTGTATAAAAACATTTTCCCAGCAGGACCATAATGCTTTCGCATTCCCACACGGAAGCGTTCTTAAGTGTCTCTGCCGAATTGTGTTGTGTTACACACGCTGCTCTGGATTACGCTCATTGAATCATACTTGTACCAAAAATAGTTCACTATCTACGAGTACTCCGCTTACCCCTCAGTTGAGAGCGTGAGCCAGCCCACTTTCCTGGCTCTGAGACCGAAGGTGCGTCTCAAAGCCTGGAACGCGGGCACGAGCGCTCGTTTTACAGAAGCGCGATCGCTCCTTTTACAAAATAATGTTTCAAAACCGCAATCCGTATTCCCGTGATCGTATCATGTTTCAAAGGTTCCGCTATAACAATAAATAATCGAGTTACACACGACCTTTCAGTGCCTATCCCAACCTTATATCCTCTACATTTAAACAGTGCGTTTCTTTAAATGCTGTATTCTGTTAAGAAATGACCGCTGCAATTTCTTTTTATAATGTTGTTGCTTCCTTGTTTCTCTTTTGACTCATACAATATGAGGGGGGAATGGCCGCACGGTATTTATTGCCAAAGGCGAAAACCTCTTCATATTCAGGTACAGTTCATAGAAACTTGAGGAAGCAAGCTTCGGGTGGTGCAATTTTCTAGAAAGTGAACAAAATGGAAGGAGACAAAGTGATTCTGATAATTCTGTTCATAAAAAGTCTCTCCGCAGCTCAACATCCCCTCTCAACGGGTATGTATCTCACATGCGTTGCACATATTTTTTGTCGAGCGCGTTTTTGGCCCGGGGGGTAGGGTAAGAGTTTTATGAGTTTATGAAGATAAACAACATACAAAGCTTGCGAAACTGGTTGAAATATATTCTGTTGACTTCCAGCATGGATTGCAGTCTCAAACCAAACAAGATAGTTGTTGGGTTACAGTAATCCTAAAATTATTAATCCGGTGTCCTTCTTTGTTTCTGGCCGACGCTAAGTTTTAGGAAATATAGAGATGGCATGCATTTATTTTTGTCAATATTTTGAGCTGATTTTACTGCCATTTGCTTAGGAAAAACTGCGCCACTGACTTTAGCCCTGGAATTTAAAATTCACAAACCCTCACCATCCTCAAAAACAGTCGCGAATTACATTTCATTATGTTGAAATTTTTTTGAATAAATTGGTTACCACTACATAAGGTTTTCTTTTTTTTTCCGGTTCGGATTCAATTAAAGTTTTTAATTTCGGATTTGATACAATACCGTCCAAATAATGGTTATTATACGTTTTTCTGTTTGGATTTGGCCGTAGAAGCTGCTCTTGAGAGCATCAAACTTAGAAGTTCTTTCATAAAAAAAAAAGTATTTTGACAAGGTTTTCTTGCATATAGATATCAAGCAGAATTTATTTGATCAACCAACCTTTATAAATATGAGCATTCAAATTTCGACAAAAGCGCTTTCGAAGGTCGGTTCACGCTTAACCCGCAGCGCTAAATAAACACTGGAAACTGCGCTGATGTAGTGTTTATTTTAAGAAAATGCATCATCAATGCAGCACTATCTCAGTACTGTGGAGTATGTGTGAACAGGCTTTTAAGTCGTCCGAGCGGCAACTGAGATGTAAACCTAAGATATTTCACTTGTTATTTATTAATACTTTATAACAAGCTTTCGCACTCCCGTGTCTGTTCTTCGGTTAGTAACCAACAAAGTCGACATTGACTTCGTTGTTTACAATCGTGAGCGGCTGTGGATTTGAATCACCAAAGCTAACTTGCGACAGCAACCCCTGTACTACGCGAGAGAGGAGTAGAGGGGCCAGATGGTAGGCAATCTTGCCGGCACGAAGGGCAAGCAGAAGTCAAACGAAGAAAATATCGAGTGTAAGCGTACAGGTGCCGAGGCGCAGCATTAGCCACGTGTCGATGGTACTGCGCAGTAGCTTGAGAAGGGTTTGAGTAAAGAGGCAAGTGGAAACACGACCAGTGAAATGGATTAGGAACGGAAGCATCGGCTGCAAGCTGATCAAGACGCCAGGCACAAAAAGACGTCTCGTGTGGCGAACAAACCTAGATAACATTGGCTGCAATGCAAGCGGGACGCCAAGCAGGAGAAGACGTCTCACAAAACGGACAATGAGAGGAAAGTTCGCCTGCGGCGCAAACGGAACGCCAAGGAGGCAACCCAAGCATCAACAACAAAACTGAGCAAAAGCGAGCGGATACAAGCGTACGTGCTGACAACAAGTAATTTGAGAAGCATTTTCTCAACGTCTTGAACCGTCCATGTGGTTCCAGTCGGGCCTGAACGGTGAAAAGAACCGGTTCGAGACAAAGCAAATCCAGAACTCCGATTTTTTTTTTTTTTTTTTTTTTTTTGGGGGGGGGGGGGGGGGCGGAAAATTTTTAAGGATACTATTCTCCCATTTTTTCTTGTGCAAGGGAGGTCCACCCATGTCAAATTGCCCTCCGAGAACGGGGGAGGGAGGGGGGGTCGACTTTGTTTGGGGAGGCGCAGCCGCCCCCGTCGCCTCCCCCCCCCCCCCCCCCCCCCCCCCCTTGAATCCGCCACTGGTTCGAAAGACTGCCTTTCACGGTGTTCCCCAAACCAGTCGGTAGAAAGTTCGTGGTGTGCGCAACGTGAAAAACAAGCTTCACTCTCGGTAATACGTTGAGGCTTTTGGATCGACTGTTCCGCAGCAACGCAGTGCAAGACACTACACACATTTATCGCACTTCAACCAGAAATTTATTCAATAATTTTCCCAACAATTTTTAGACAAAAGTGTGATACGTCTTCACATTAATATAAAAAAGAGCAGGTACGTTAACAAGTTTTTTTTTTATTTGTTGAAAAAAGCATGGGGAATTTCAGTATCTCACTTGATTGAACCTGAAGCTACAAGCACACAGATATTGTCCTGTATGATGTTTCCACAGCGAGAGCATGCGTGCGTGATAGCGATATATTTATAATATAATCTTATTCTGTGCTTTGTTATTCCCATGGATCATTCTATTGCTCGCCGTGATTTTCTGTTACCGCGTTTTCAGGAAGTAAACTCACAGATGACATTTGAGTGGATATTCCTTTGCACAGCTCAATAGCTTTAAACTCCGCAAGTTCTTTCGTTTGCATCAACAGGGTGCTTGATGTCACTGCAAAATTTAGAAGTGAGCTACTTGTCACTTATGCCGCTTGATTTATACATTCATAATTGCATTAAATAAATTATATACCTTATTGACCATATCTGTATTAATAGCAGAACGAAACTACTTTCGTCATTCTAAACCAAATTTATAACAGGTAGACGGGACAACTCGCAAGCATCTTGTCCTAGAATTGGCGAAATGTTCTACTGAAAAAGCAGTCTGTTGAGAGAATGCAGAAAATGACAAGCGAAATAATCAAGCGTTCGAATTACGGAAAATTTTATAATACCCTATTAATAATTATTTATTTTTGGGCTGGATTTGAAAACGTTTTCTAATGCTTGCAACCAGGTAAGACATTGTGGGTCCCTGGTTTTCACTATCTTTCAAATACACGGTACGTAGCCACCAGTTAAAGCTTTATATTGTAAGCTTCAGAATAAAGCTGCAATGATTATGATTATGAATCTCACCCGATTTAGGGCCTCTACTCCCAGCTTTTAGTTCAGAAAATAAAACTTGGTTCAAAACTTTATTTTGCGCCACTTTTGTTCATTAAATCAAACATAATAATATTGTATAATCATAAAAGTGAGAATTTATTTATTTGATTTTTGTTCATCAATGAATCGTAAGTATAGCTTCAGGATCAAGTTATATAGGCCCTTTTTGCAGCTTTTATATAATACCATAAAACTTACTTCGAAATATTATTATCTAAGTTGTTTACTTAAAGAAAACACATCCAACTCCACTGGAATGTAACTCTAGAGGTGTAGATAGGACCCGAATATTGGAGAGCAGGGCGTTACCTGTGCCAAAGGATAAAAATAAAAACGGAATTTCTATGTGGCCTAATATTCGTCAAACCAAATATATGTGGCATTGTGCGCGCCCATGACATTCTTTTTTTTTTTTTACGTCGGCCTGCTATGCGGGATAAAGTCAAAGGTAATGCTGCCTTCCCTTTCGTGTAAGTACAGTAGGAAATGGTGATGCGGGACATGTGTCCAACGTTGGATGTCTGGCGGCCGGGAAGGACGGAGGCCCACCCAACTAATATTGCGCCGACGGGTCGCTTGAAGGCACGGCAAGTCCAAAGAAGGTGCTTAAGTTCCACCTCCCGGACTGGGGCGGGACGACAGAGACAGCAGGTGGATGACGTGGCATGACCTCGTCTGGCGAAGACAGCCGATGTGATAGACGAATTCGCACGAACTCTTCGGCACGAAACCTCCTCTTGGCGGGTATGAGAGCCAGGGAGGTTAGAACCACACGGAGGAATAAAAGCGCATGTGGTACGCCGCACAGTCTCCAAGCGGTTGGCCAGACTTTCCGTGGCCGGAATCTTAAGCAGATGAAGCGTGTAAAGTACCGTTTGAAGATGACAGGCAGCGTCTACCGCGGCATGAGGGTAACACTACAAGGACGAATCCGGCAGACTCGGACCGGGCCGGGGGCACTCGGCCACAAACCGATGAAAGTCCGTCTTCACATTGAAATAGCGGTCAACACTGCGTAGGGCGTAGATAGCCTGCATCGAGTCGGCATAAGAAGACACGAGGAGGCCGAGGGGTAAAAATAGGAGGAAAAATAGCGGACAGACAGTCCCGAAGGGCCACCAATTCCGCCATTACCGAGGCAGAGGGGTGTCCAGGAAGTACGAAAACGTTTGTTTCTCCGTCGAAATGTAGGGGCATAAGATGGCTTTACGTAGCCATAAGTCAGTCAATCCAGCATCCACGTAGGCTATAAGAAAAGACATTGTGGGCGCCATTGGCAGTTATTTAATAAAAATATCCTTGCTGTCATCAAGAAATAAACAGTATTTCTTGTTTGCTAACATATTTGTTTCACTTAAACTAACGTTACAAAGCACGCGCCCTCAATATCATATTTTTGTTTGGGGAACATTAGGCTTACAAATGTCGCCTCCAAGGTACGTATAATTTTTGTCATTTATATTTTTATTCAAGTAACGACATGTTTTCAGAATGTCGCATCTTATCCCCTCCGCTAGCCCTATATTCCGACGGAGTTTCAGTTCTTTACGCCACAAAGTTTTTGTTTTTTTTCATTTGGGTCGAGAAACAAGGTTTTATTTTCCTTAAGAGACCAGGTATAGTAAAACAATATGATATTTTTTTTTAATTTATTGGTATTTTTTAGAAAACTGCGGACTTCCAGAAAAACAACCAGACCATTCAGACTCTGTGATAAGCGAACGAATTTTAAACGGCACGGATGCGATTCCCGGAGCTTGGCCCTGGCAAGTTGAGATTACGGACTTAGACAGACACGTCTGCGGAGGAGCACTGATTGAACCACAATACCTCCTTACATCTGCCCATTGTGTACTGTAAGAGATAATAATTTTATTACATTTGAACGTCTCAATATAACAGCATAAAAAGCTTTAAACACCTTCCTTTAAATATTAGTGACTTGCAAAAAATTGCGTGATTTACAAAAAAAAAAAACAATTGCAAACGATCACACGATGTGTGCTGCGATTCACAGATGAAGCATAAGGGTTGTGGATCAGCATGTTGAATGGTATTTGACTTCTGCATGCAGTGGCGTAGCCAGAAAATATTTTCGGGGGTGCTATCACACACACAACAAAAAATAATATATTATATGTATATATATATATATATATGATAAAGTAAAATTTCGGGGGAGTGTTCTGACACCTCATCAGGCCCCTGGCTACGCGCCTCTCTGCATGTGTACTGTATAAGATTTGCACTGGATTTTGAGTAGCGAACCGGGGAGGCGGCAGTGGGGAGGCAAGGAAGAGTGTCGTCATAGGGCGGAAACGTACGTGTTTTGCAAAGACGCCTGCCGGAAATGTTCGGGGGGGGGGGGGGGGGAGGGAAAGCGTCACCTCCGTGGATGCAGCAGGAAGGGATGGAGGCGAAGAACGCTCTTTCTAAGACCATGTGGGTTTTTCGGGAACAGCAACAGCCTACAAGTGGGTGAGGAGGAAAAGGGGGGGGGGAGGATGGAGCGAGAGAGCCTTTCCGCAGTTGGCGTTATTTGTGTGTTACGCTGGGCGGAGGGAAAGCCGTGCTTCTGCTGCATAGTGGGGTTTAGTGTTCTTACAGGGCCATTGAGTTTGTTGATTTTTCGACAGGTATTATGCTGATTAAATATATTTCAAACTTCCAAGTCTTTACTTGATTGAACTGCAAACACCTAACGCTTTGAAATAAATCATAATATTGTGGTAAAGGCAGTGGGACCGCAATATATGTTGTGGAGACGAAGTAGATGCTACTGCTGCTCCGCCCTTTCTGGGGCCGCGGCGTGTCCGGCACCGTAACCTCAGAAACGAGGCATGCCGGAAAGAAAACTTTCAGAGTGGCACCGCACTGCTGCTTCTTCGCAATGGCTCTATGCGGAAAGCGTGAGGAAGTGTAACAAAATAAAAGTCAAACACATGTGCTTGGCAGGAACGGTGAAAATCAGCAGATTTTCACTCGTTTATCACGTGCTAGGAGTAAAGCGCATCGTTGCCGTCGCTTTTTGTTCCCTCACGTTATGCGACTCACGGAAGTAACTTGGATCTACTTGAGCAAGAACGTTCGGCTGACACTTTTGTCCGATCAGTCAGAAGGCGAGCGCTGCTTTGGTGTTCTGCTTGCACTCGCCTTTTATTCTGCCGTTTTACGAGTGTGAAACAGCAAGCAATTAGTACCAACCATATAAGACATTTTGTGCTCGACAATATGTAACCCAACAGTACCATTGTTCAGTGAAAAATTTTTTTTAGAAAGGGATGTAATTTTTTGAGCATCTGATTACCACCATTCTTCGCACGAACTGCTCTCAAAGTATGTTAATATTTTAATACAACTTCCTTAGTAACATCATGTTGAATGTGAATAATAAAAATCAAACTGAATAAAAAGTAAACCGCAAATGTTCGGCAAGACACTCGGTGAGAAAATTGAAAACTTTTGCTATTAAATAGCGTTTCTTAAGAAGAATTCAAAACATGCATCTACAGAAATTTTTTCATGCTGATGCTCAAATCCCCACTTACTCTAGATAGTACGTGGGAGATTTGTGATATAACGTCTTACTTTATCGCAGCGAACTATCTTTGAATGTTTTAAAAATTTGGCTTGGAAGCTATTCGAGTAAAAACAAAGATAATGCACTGGAGGAGACAATTGACACCATTTGCATTCACCCTGCCTTCAATGAAAGCGGGGGAGAGGTAAGTCATTGCAAATACGTTCTGATTTGCGGCTTGAGAAGTCCATTTTGCTTGACATAAAAAGGAAATATATATACAACATACTGTACTAAAGTTTAAATGCCTTATTCATACATCTCAGGCGCTTTCACCAAAAAAAGAAACATTATTCTAAGAAGAGATGTTTACGTTGCTTCTTTATCAGTGATCACACAATTGTTAGGCCTCGCGCTATGCTGACTGTAACTGTATTTCAATTTTTCAACTACCAAGATGCTAATCTGTTTGTTTTTATATATATTTCCTAAAATCTTAATAATTCTGCCTCAAGGAGTTTGTCTAATATTACTACGCTTAAAAATATTTGAGTGAAATGAAGTTAAAAAATGAACAATTTAGCTTTGCGTGGATTCAAAAATGCGTCATAAGTGCCAACGTACTTAGAATTTCAAAGCGAGTATATCGTTAAAATATAGATTTTTTTTTTTAAGTTCGGGGGAGAGGGAGGGGGGGGGGGGGGGCTGGCCAGTTTTGTTGGATTTACCGCCTCATAATTTAATATGCACGAAAATGTAGATTGGCACCACTCATTGAAGACTAGCAGCGTTACAGAATAGAAAGAAATCGACGACTAAAAAGTATGCAGGGTACAAAAAAAATTTACAAATGCTTTATTTGAGGTTGATGTAGTAAACAAAATTATCCCGTAAATAATGAAAGAGGCTACTTCATTACATCTACGAAAATGTTACAGCTTCACGAATAACTAAAGACTAAATTGACAGCGAATAGTATCGGCAAATGTATATAATAAATGGAATATGGTATTTGAGGAGCGGTTGTTTCAATTAGTTTAGAAGTCGTTCAGGGAGTGGAAAACCTATGTATTTCTCAATTACACCACTAAGTTTAGTGGCGGAAGTAAATTGCTGTATTTGTCTCGTGTGATTCATTTCTTGTTTTAAATTTAAGATTGCTCCATGCCCAGCACGATGTAAATTTCATGGTTTCACAGTTACGACGAGAAAAAAAAATGGTAAAGGTGGAGGCAAGCTGGTGCGTATTAATCCTCATGCTTAATCCCATCAGGTTGGGAAAGGAACTTGAAGATATCTTGGAAGAAGCAGAAGAAAGGTGACATACAAGCGTGTCAAACTCATCTATCAAAATGTATTTCCTACCACGCGTTTAAACACGTCTCCCAAGGTCGTCCACAACATCCAAAAACACACATGTACTTTGTTTTCAAGGTGTATGTGTGTTTCAAGGCAAGAAAACACCCAAGGGTCTAGCTTCTGAGGAAGGCTGAATTTTGACTCACCAAAAGCAGCTTATCTTCAAACATAAAAAAAAGCACTGCTTCCATTTTTTTACGCACACTCTCTCCCTCGTGAGGAAAGAGTTGGCGCCCATGGGCGCCTCTTGCTCTCCACGTAAAAGACGTAGATAGAACACACAAACAGCCCTAGGGCCACAATAGCCAAGGTCGTGACAAGAGAACAACGGCGGAACGTGACCTCAATATCCCTGACGCGTTGCGAACGAAAGATGCAGAAGGGTCAAGTGGCATCCATGAGTGATATATCATGAAGGAACACGTGATCTCTCCTGCACACCCGCTAAAACAATTGTGATGGATGCTCTGATATCACGGATTGAATTCGGAGAAACCAACAAGCCTCTAAAAAAACAATGACGGGTATGTCAGGCCATTTTTAAAAAAAAAATTGACAGATATGTACAACAACCAAAAAAATTCTAAATGATAATTCAAAACATTTCAGAAATCCTGATGCGCCCAAAAAACAAATTTTCAATAGGACAGCCTCATATTTTAAGCATCACGATTGTTACCGCATGTTAACCGGTATTACCAGGGTAATGTCTCCTTTGCTTTTCGACGAACACCTCCATAGTTCTGGTTTTTAGTGCAATATATTGTAGCAGCTCAAAATTTCAGTGACGAGATTAACAGGTTTAAGAAAAAGCATAATCTTTTAGGGTATATGTAATGTATAACGGCTGTTGGAGTTTCCATAAACCGGTCTTCTGAACGTTTTCACTTCAACGTAGAGGAAAAAGTGAAGGAAAGGATAAAAAAAGCTGCCCCCCAAATGGCCGGGTGCAGCTTACAAAAATAGCTCTGTAGATTTCAGCACTCTGGGTACACGTGCACACTACTAATACCGGTGTACCGAACCTTCTCTACAAGAAGGTTCGGTAGAAACCTGAAAAAAATGCACAACTAACAAAAGAGAAGCCCCCAAAACATCTCATGGTGATGCGATATAACCACGAAATAACGTACCGCCTAAAATTATCGCTGGCCGTCAAGGCGTAGATGTCGTCTTCTCAGCCCCCAACAAGGCATATATCATATGCCCGTAGAATTAATTGTAGGACTGACAAAAATCAGAAGATCACCTACGGCACCGCGCAAAGAACACCTTACTCCCTGCGCGAAAAATGTGTTCTTTACATTATTCTGTTGTCAATGGGAAATGATGCATAGGTTGTACTAAAGACCACACAAGGGAGCAGCGTGTGGGTGCACTAGCGCCAGCTGGCCATCTTCTGGCGCATTTTCGAGTATGCCAATGTGCTCCTGATTTCTCAACCGTCATCATCGTTGCAACAGGAAGACTGTCAGTGCCGTCTCAATTGCGGTATTTGCTAAAGAAGAGCAGTATATGGAGTGAGTGCCCCATGTGAGCAAAACGTCTGGAGCATGTAAATGCTATTCACCGGGGATCATTTCAAAAAAGAAATTACCCCTGGGAACGCAACAATTTAATTTATGAGTGTCAATGGAAAAAACTATTTTCAGTAATTGGTTGATAGTCCAGCAGTGTGTCTCTTTTTCTCAGCTCCTTCCTTTTTCCCTCTAGGTTCAGCTGGAAAGCTTTAGAAGAATGTAAAACCAACCTACTCCGCTCTAGGCGGACACAATCATATCTCCCCCATGTTTCTCTTTTTTCTTAATTTTTGTACATCATTTTCTGAGTTCATTTGATCAGCAGACTTGTAAAACAAATGCATACATAAGGCACAAACTATCGAAAACATGTTTCGAGGCGTGTCACCGTAATAACTCAATTGCATCGTATGCAATACCCCCCCCCCCCTGGCAACAATCAAACTACCTATAAGCTAAAACAACATCCCAATAACTCTAGCTTGCACACATAAATTAAGGTCTTTATGATTCATAAATGTACAACCAAGAGCAATTCAGACCGCCAGAAGAAAAACGTTAACATATTTTAGACGAAACCCCGAGACCCGGGGGGGGGGGGGGGGGGGGGGGGGTCAAAGGACACTACACCACAACGTCCCAAACACAGTTGAAATTTATTGGACAGAATATCGTGGTTTTATAGGGAAACCGAAACGAAAACGGGAAACTAGTGCCTCGGCCTTGAAAACTAGGAATAATCTCTCTCCTCTTGAACTAAGACGTAAAATAACTCGGCTTTGTTTTTTTCAGAGTTTCTATTAGAGCGATTCGCCTTTTAAATCAGTTTATTGCCATTTTGGCAGTTTTACATCGCCGACTAGATCATTGTCGGAAACTAGAACCATTCTTAAGTCGCACTTACACTTTCCTTTTCTCCTCCTTATTACTTTGTATCACAGACTATAATGCATTACCAGATCATATTGTTACTGCCGCCAATCCCATTTCATTTAGAGATCAGTGTATATTATATACAGTGTTGTACACGCTCCTCAAAAATAGGAACGGAAGCTCGTTCCTCGTTCCTCCTGATTTTTGGAACGCGTTCCCGTTACAAGTTCCATACGTGAAGAAGGAACTCGTTCCCGTTACAGTTAAAAAAATGGAACGTATCGTTACATATACGTTACACTTGTATTTTGCTGATTACCATACTTACTCATATCTAGAAAATATTTTATTTTTATTTTTTTAATCTATTCCGTCAAATGGAAACAAGAATTTGAAGGCCGTGATGGAAGAGCACTAGGAGAAGAAAACAGGCGGAAGCAGGGTTTGATTTGTTGATATACACCTTTAAAAATCTAAGCTTTTACCTATATTTATGTTTGTGGTGGGGGACTCAGACGAGCCAAATGTACTGTCACCCTATACATTGCACGAGCGTTTTGCAACAACCTCACACGTTTCAATATAACAAAGTCCCTTGTTCGAACTTAACAACCGTTGATCCTCAATGTTGTCCGCAAGACGAGCGAGTGAAGAGGGCAGGGCTTTTGGAAGGTCAGTATTGAAAACTACAAGTCCTTTTCATAAAGGCTGGATTCTTTGTTTAGTTTGAAGGTGGCGACAGGCAGATAATTAATAAAGGTAAATTTTTGTGTAACTTTTAAGTGTCCACTGCTCGGGATACAGGAGTATGTTCGATGCCTAGTTATTTGTACTTTTGATGTATCTGTTGTTCTCTTTGTGGAAGTTCAGTGATAGCAGTAGTCGGCCTTAGATTTCTGGGTGTGTGAGGATTCGTGGAAGCAAAGAAATTAGCTGAGTTTGAAACGTCCCTCTTTCTGTGTCTTTTCCTTCGACTAAAAGTTTTGCTTCTTGTAGCGCAGTCTCGTGGACACTGAAAATAGAATCGATATCCCCTAGCTCTCCTGCACCCAACTGTTACCAAGCGGGGACCACACAAGACGAACCCGAAGATAACTAAGCAAAACGTTAACGAGACCCTGCTCTTCGTAAAAATATTGTTTTTATTCTTTCAGAATTTTCTTCTGAGAAATCAAATTAAAATAACCCCACTGGACGAAAAAAAAAAAGGAACGCCGTTCCTTCTTTCCGTTCCAGTAAAAATGTAACGCGTTCCCGTTCCAGTTCCAGCGATGCAAAATGGAACGGCGGCGTTCCTTCGTTCCTCTTAAAAGGAACGCTTTCCAGGAACGCCGTTCCTTGGAACGCCGTTCCGGACAACACTGATTATATAATTATATAATTACTCACCTTGATTATGTTTTTGTATTATAGCTTTTGTGGTTTGTTTGTGCTTTGTTCATTCTTTATTTCGCTTTCTTCGACGACATTGGGTGCATCTGCGATGACGCTTCACTTTTCCGTGTTTCCCTATTCTGTTTTTTTTTTTTTGGGGGGGGGGGGGGGCGGGGGGTTAACCTTTATCATTTGCTGTGAATCTCCTCTCGTGTAATGCGTCCATCGGACGCCTTTGAGGTGAATAAAATAAAATTAAATGAATTGAAAAGGAAGGAAAAAAGGAGAAGATGAACTTCTTGTATGTAGTCCTTCCCCCCCCCCCCCCCCCTTAGTCTCGGGGTTTTGTCTAAAATGATAAACCTTCACCAGCTTGTTTGCGCCCTAATTCCTTTTGTACGTCAAACTTAAAAACATAAAAATCTCACCGGCCGCGAAACGGGCATTTACCTATCTAAATGACAGAAAAAAAACAGCTTAAATTAAGTGGGGAAGCCTCTAAATTGGCAAAACTGGACTAAATTTAGCCACAGGTTTCGTGGCGTTTAATCAAGGGACGTCAATTTCCCCGTTAATTTTAGCGGGTAATACACGGACCCACGACAGGACAACATTTGGATTCGGGGTCCCATTGATAAACATTTCATACATGTACTCGATTGGTTCTGAAATATACAACTTGTTTTGTTCTTTTTCTTTGCAGTATGACATTGCCATTATAAAACTGAAAAACAGGGTGAATTGCTCGCAGAATATTAAACCAGTTTGTCTCCCGGACAAGAACGACGAACCAGATTGTGACCATCCGATGTATATGGCGGGATGGGGATACAAAGAGCGTAAGAACGACTCATTACATTCAAAACACCAGGGACTGTAAGGAAAAACAGCTGCAGTCTGGTTTTAGCCGGTTTTAACTGTATATGCCGCGTCAGTTTGCCTTAGCATAATTAAATTATTTGAAGCTGAGAATTAGATATCTCAAACAATAAACGAGGATACAAGTGAACATATTTATTTTTTGTTGAATACATGGTATTTCAGAAAATAGATTAAAAGAGCTACACAGCGTTGCTTAACTGAGCCCTATAAACTAACGAGAGTTGTGTCGCCGAAATTTAGACATAATAAAATTAAACTTATGCCCATAAAAATGCTACCATTTACAAAATTTGGAAAGTTCACAAATTCAAGGATTTTTTTTTTCTAATGTAGTGCTCATTCACAGTTAGTTGTCTTATCCGGTTATTTGAATAAAAGTTTATGTAAACATTTCAAAAAGTTCGTTGATTGTAGTTGGGACAAGTGACGCAAAAATCTGCAATTCGTAGTTTGTTCTGGCATGTGGAAATTATGATATTGCTTTACAATTGGTAAGGTCAGCTGTACTACCAATAAGAATCAATATGACTATACCTAAAAAATAGGTGTACATTGCAAACACACTGTTTTAATGCATAAATGGCTTCAGGAACATCAAAACAGCAGGCTAAAAAATCCTTGACAGTAATCTATTTTAAATTTTGAAGCCTCCAATGTATAATAAATTCTTAAGTTTGTGCAGGCTTCTGAACCAGTTGCTAAACCCTTACCTAAACAAGAAATAACTTATTTTCATACTACGATTATCACAAACAAGCATATTGTTCTTGTCGCCCTCATATAATGTCTCTATAATGTTTGCACGGGCGACTGCTCTAAAGAGCATAAACTGTGATGATAATGTTCTCAAAATCTTCATTTAAGGAAAAGATAAAAATTATTTGCACGCGTCAATTTTCAAAACAAAACGGAAAGAATATACCATGAAAATTGGGGCGCTTTTTAAGTTAAAAATTTAAAATATTCCTTCAATATTATCATTAAGACGTAGAAGTACAGTGTATCCAATAAGCAAAGGCAAAGTGTTTGCTTTCGGTTGATGCTCTTAACATAAAAAGCGTAAAACTTTATGAAGTGCTAGTACATCACTGAAACAAAACGGCGCTTTTTATAAAAGAAAGGACAGCGAGATAAAATAACTTTAATTTTCTTGCGGATGCGCATTGACAACATAACATTCACATAAATAAGTGGAACTTGCCATAGAATAATTCTGCACCAGTCTGACCAAACTCTCGCGAATATAGCGTATATACATTCAAGCAGCTCTAGATTGGCGTGCACCTCAGTTCCAGAGAAATTTCTGATACCTGAAAGCTAAATAATGCAATTTATGCAAAGGTGCAAGCAAACTGGACAAGAATAACAATATTATAGTCACTGGAGAAAGGAGGATAGGGGGACAAAGGGGACAAAAGAAAAACAGTCATTTCAAAACATTGATAGGTGACTGGTGCGCGACAGAAAAATCCTGCCTGGTTCTGGTATTGAACCAGGGACCTCTCCATTTTCCGTGGAGCGATGTACTCACTGAGCTAACCAAGAGTTTGACGTTAGTAGACCCAATGGGTTTTATCAGCTGCCACCAGTTTAACACTAAAGAGGGCGAACGGCCTGCATTTTAAGGTTATGATAATATTGCAATTATTGCAAAAGCGCAAGCGATCTGTACAAGAATAACGATAGTATTATTCCGTGAAAGAGAAGAACAAGTGGAACAAGGGACAAACACAACTCTCCAAACACAGCTAGGTGACTGGTACGCGATTAAGAAAATCCACCTTGTCCACGCATCAATGAAGAGCCAGCCTGGTGGCAGCTGTTAAAACCAGTTTTATCTACTGACGTCTCACTCCTGGTTAGCTCAATTGATAGAGCGCTCCACTGAAAATGGAGAGGTCGCTGCTTCGATACCACGACCAGGCGGATTTTTTCAGAAGCGGGCCTTTCACCTAGTGAGTTTGCAGATTTTTTCTTGTGCTTTGACCTCCTTCTTCTCCTTCTCGAAGGAATAATATTACCGTTATTTTTCTCAATCTCGCTTGCACCTTCGCATTAATTGAATTATCATCACAACCTCAAAATGCAGGCCGTTCGCTCTTGTTGGTTCTAACTTCTAACCCAGTGGCAGTTGCTAAACCGCGATCGCCCCCCTGAGGTAAAAAAAAAAAAAAAAAAAAAACTTGGATAGCTCAGTTGGTAAAGCGCTACACTGGGAATGGAGAAGTCAATGGTTAGAGACCAGGACCAGGCGTAGTTTTTTAGTCATGCACCAGTCACCTAGCTGTATTTGGATATTTGTGCTTATCTTTTCGTTCCTTGTTTCCCTTTTCTAACGAAAATTATTATCGGTATTATTGTCCAGCTCGCTTTCACCTTTGCATTGATTGCGTTATTATAATAAACTTAAAATGTAGGCCATTCACCCTTGTTGGTGTTAGACGGGTGGCAGCTGTTAAAACAAGTTTGCTCTACTGACGTCCATATCCTGGTTAGCCCAGTTGGTAGAGCGCTCCAATGAAAATGGAGAGGTACCTGGTTCAATACCTGTACCCAGGTAAAATTTTTAGTCACGCACCAGTCACCTAGCCACGTTTGAAGATTTGTTGTTGTCCTTTTCCTCCGTTATCCTCCTTCTCTCGGGATTATTATGATTATTATTATCGATATTCTTGTCCAGCTCCCATGCACCTTTGCATTAATTGCATTATTATCATAACCTTAATATGTAGGCCGTTCACCCTTGTTGGTGTTAGACTGGTGGAAGTTTTTAAAATCAGTCTGATTTATTTACATCTAACAATTCATGGTCAACTCAGTTGGTAGAGCACACCACTGGAAATGTAGAGGTCCCTGTTTTGATACCAGGAGCAGGCGGATATTTCGGTCGCGCACCAGTCACCTAGCTGTTTCGAAATTTGTGTTTGTCCTTTGTTCCCCTTGATCTCCCTCTCCACGGATTATTATGACCTTTATACTTTTCCAACTTGATTGATTTTTTGGATTAGTTGCATCATGATCAAAACCTTAAAGTGCGGGCCGTTCACCTATGTTAGTATTAGACTGGCGGCAGCTTTTAAAACCCGTTTGTTATACGGAAGTTTAATTCCTGGTTAGCTCAGTTGGTAGAGCGCTCCTCTGGAGATGGAGAGGTCCCTGGTTCAATACTAGGACCAGGCGAAGTATTTCAGTCGAGCACATGTCACGTAGCTGTGTTTGGAGATCTGTGTTTTCCCTTTGTTTCCCTTGCTGCTGCTGAAAAAGGAACGAAACAAATCTCCTTGCAACCGCATTCTACCGTGTGTTTCTGAGCTTGATTTTGGCGTAAACAATCAGTATAAATATTTCAATAAACCAGGTTCACTGAGCCTATTCACAAAGGTGTCTTCAGGTGATGCATTTGTGATAATAAAAGTTCACATTGGACTTCTTCAATAAAATATTTAAGGCTAAACCGTTTTGCCTATCCCAATGTACAGGAATCAAAAAGATAAAAACATGTGTGATTTACCATCTAACGGAGGCTAAAACAAATGCCAAGATCTGCTGCACCCGCTTTCGCGCTTTCGGGTGTTTATCTAGGAGAAGCTTTCACGTTTTTGCTCTAGGTTTTGACATCTGTGAAGAGCAGCGTAGGCCTGCTTGTGTTTACAGTTTTCCTTCCTGTGATTAAGAAAAAAAACATTTGAGGCTTACATCTCAATAAATAAAAGCAACATTTATACAATGTAAGTATAATGAATGCGCTATATAAAGACACCTTGCGAAAGTTTCATTGAACACAGTTTATTGGTCTATTTACACGAATTTGTTTACGCCAGAATTACGCTTTAAAACACCCCATATAATTAAATCTACGTGGACCCTAAGAACGTGAAAAGACAAGGTCATTATTCAACGCTTCTTATTGTGATCGCCAAGTCAGCAAACCGCAGGGCTAACATCATTTATTATTTTAAAACATTGCTTTCCCACAGAGCACAAGGCTATACGAGCTAGGGAGCACTCCGTGACTTCAAGGGCTTTAAAATTATGAAATTTTGGTCCGCAATGTGATCGATGTGGACGTTGACTCCAGTTTGGTGACAGACATTTTGGCAAAGCAAGATCAAAAAGCGACTAGAAAGACTCATGAAGCGAATCACATCCAGCTACACTAACAAGACTGGTGAATAAGCATAAACCATTGGCAATTTTATACAGGGAGTTCGAACTCGTCGAAGTATTGAACTAATTTGTGTCGAGGAATATGCTACGGGTGACTGCGGTGGCTAGTCAGAAAGATCTCCGCCCTCTGTTTGTGCTGATGCTTCTTCCTTTCACGCATCTGTGTCCTTTTTTGTACCCTTTTGTTTATTTACGCTGTTTACTATTATCGGTCTCTAACCATATGGGCTGCACCGTCCTCCATGAACAATAATTTACAGTGCATAGGTTTTTACACCGGACAAGTTCTGTGCAAGCCTCCTGTGTTAACCAACCACTGACACTGATTCTTTTTTGTACTCTGGCAGCTTTGGAGTATAATGATCAGTTTATATCTGGGCCTACCGAAATTATACAAGACGCACAGGTGCAAGCAATATCTGATTCCGCACTTGGCTCGCAGGAAGACGATAAAGGTACGGTATACCGATGTACGAAAGTTTCCTTAAAATTTGACATCTTTACGCCATAGTGACGTGCGTCTATAGAGCAACCGAAGTCTATGTTGACGTTAAGCGCTGTAAATATTCTTTAATCGGAAATTGTCCTCCCACACAAATGCAGCATTAGTTTTTCTATCCTTAGCTGTTACTCCTTGCTCTATGTTGGCAGTTTTTGCCTTAAGCCTAATTCATTAAATTCCACCGTGATATGAAATTATTATAATCAAACCGCATGGTAGGCACGAATAATGTATGTATGCTTACACAGCCGGAAGTTAGTTAATCTAAAATGGCGTCCGGTACGTGTATCAGCTGTAGAAAAGAAGTTAAGCCAGTGCAGTACAACAGCTAACCTGTGGCCTTAAACGTCCATCACACAGTAGTGATAGACGACTGCATGGTGGGTGGGGATTGAAACGAGTGTCTCCGGGTTCCGCAGCGTGCGCTTTACATCCAGGTGCTCCAAGCCGGTTTGCGCTTTAGATCCAGATGCTTCAAGCTCCACCGATCCCCCTACAAGTTAGGGATAAAACTGAACTGTTCTAATCGGAAAGCAAGGTTGTAATTGCCATGCGCCTTGAATGCTTAGAGAACGGTGTTCTAAAACCCAACCGTAACTAAACCAGTAAAAGCACAGGCGAGCTGATGCTAGATATTTATCACGTGCAAAATTCAAGACTGCCGCAAAAACAAATACATTTGAAGTCGAGAATAAAAGAAAACACAAAAGGGAAAACTCAAAATTTAACTGAGTTTTATATGTTTGCTTGCTTTGTTGTCTTTATATCACTTCAAAGTTTATTTATTTAACCGGAGTCTACGTTTCGCACTCTATGAGAAAGAATCCTAAATATCTCCGAATGTAATTTCTAGCGGTTCACGTTTAAACATCCCAACTTCATTGACAACATAGAATAAGTGTGTAACTCTTACTTCAAGAGAACTCGCCAGCTGAGTATCAAGCAAATGTATCACAAATACTGGGCCATTGTGTTGCACATAAAACATGTGGCGTCTACGATCTCGGCGCTCTTCATCGGACACTTAAACTATCGGCTTAAATCGCGGCGTGTACACTCCATAACAATTCCCGAAATTGAGATACCAGCGCGAACCCGGGCATGCGCTGGTATCTCAATTTCAGGAATTCAGATATCTCAAATTCAGGACAAACGAATTCATTGCTTCTATTGCGTGCTGAGTGAGGCAGTTAGGTTTGATGAACAGTAGAGGGGTGTATATCGAGTTACGCGTGGCGTTTTTACACTGCTAGTGACCATAGACTTACTTTGCATTTAAGAGCAATCAACATTAAAATAAGAAATAATCCCTGTTTATTTTGTCTATTGTCGTGCAGTAGAGCTATATCGTTTTTTTTATGATCGTGTAATAATATTTCTGCCCATAAAGGTCAATATTATGTGGTGTGGCACAACATAATACTTTGAACCCTTGAATAATTTACTGTTACTGAAACGAGTACGCATTCAAATCAACGGGTTCACCAGGGTACTCAACTCTGTAAAATAAAGCAATACTGAAGAAGTGGACACAAAGGAGTGAGCAGTGAAAGACTTTCAATTCGGAAAAAGCATTTGGTTGTTTATATAGCACAAATTACATTAATGTATTAAAACGCCGTTCGACTCCGCTCTTTATCCGATGCTTAAATGGTAATATTTTTCTTCAGACGAATCACCTTCCGAAGACTATTATGACTATGACGACTCCGCTGCACCAACCTCGCCGTTCCGTAATATAAACCCTGAGATACTCCAACAAGCGCGAACGCAGCTAATCTCGAATGAAGATTGCGCGAAACTACGTAATGAGTCGTCAGTTTCAAAGAACTTCATCTGCGCCAGCCATGATTATGGATCATTCTGCGTGGTGAGAGCATGAACAGAGTGATGAGTATAAGCACACTATCAATTTATGCCAAAACGCTCTTTAAACTAACGCACTTGTCAAACACATTAGTCCCTCAGTCATGCCCATTTTCCATGCTTGTGCATTTGCGCGTTCATCCCAGCACTCACCGACAGCATAATCTTGCTAAAAAAAAACATTAGTCAGAGTTCTGTTTTTGCTAACATGACCAGCCAGACACCTCCGGCGAAACGATGGACGCTGTCATCACTGCACTGAATGTTTGATTTTATTAACTTACGCACTATAGTTGAGCTAGTTGCTGCGTAACTACAGGGTGAAACAAGGAGACTCCAGGCTTTTTAAATCGACCGGAAAATTCGGTTTCTTAACCTATCGCGCTACGACTTTTTGCAGCGTTGCCCACAGATGGTGCATATTTTTGTAAAATTTGCGAAGAGCAAACTTACCTGAGGAAAAGTTAAAGAAAGAAAAAAGGCTTAGCTCCTATGGAAACGCAGCGACGCCACCGGTCTGCAAACAACACGGCGCCGTTTCGCACGGGAGACAAGAGATGGCGCAAGCGGTCGCGACGCCAACAGCCGCCAACGAACGAGCAGACGACGCCGAGAGCCGGCCCTTTTGCAGACAAGGAACTGCAGTTCTTTGCTGTTACCGCGCCTGCCTTTTTTGTTTCTGCGACTGTCGCCGCCTGCGGAACGCGCGCCGCTTTTGAGTCGAAAAGATCGCCTGCTAAAAAGGCCTGCTCTCGGCGCCGGGACCTTACGTTGGCGGCGTTTGTTGCGCCATCTCTTGTCTCCCGTGCGAAACGGCGCCGTGTTGTTTGCAGACCGGTGGCGTCGCTGCGTTTCCATAGGAGCTAAGCCTTTTTCTTTCTTTACTTTTTGCTCAGGTAAGTTCGCTCTTTGCAAATTTTACAAAAAAAAGCACCATCTGTGGGCAACGCTGCACGAAGTCGTAGCGCGATAGGTTAAGAAACCGATTTTTCCGGCCGATTTAAAGAGCCTGGCGTCTCCTTGTTTCACCCTCTGATCTGATCTTGATCCGCCAAGTTCCGGCTGGCCCTATGCAAGTTAATTTTATTAATTGCAAAATATATTTTTTAAATATTGGGTGAGAGTTCGGCGGGTGCTGTATTCACCATGCATACGTCATGCTCGGCCGACATTAGATATGGGGATAATCGTTGCGGTCTAATGACTATTGAATTAAAAAGAAACTAATGAAGTTTTTAATTCTTGGTTTGAAGGGTCATATTAGAAAATCCTTATTGACGCCAATATATATTGAAGGTCTTACTAATTTAGAAAATTTGCAAAAATGTAATAATTTGTGAGATATTAACCAAGTAATGTTCGCATGTTTTCGTCCGATTTAAAATTCGTTCATAAAGAGCGTCCCAATTCTCGCTCACATTGACGCTTGGAAGAGTGACGTCGTCATCTCAATCATGTGTCACTTACTTGACGACGTGTCACTAGTGGGTGCGCCGGCGACACGAATGGCAACGTTACTTAAACGCTACGTCACCTTTTCAAATACAACTGATGGTACGGCTTTTTGCGTGCCAATTTATATAGTGCGGAATATAGCTCCAATTTATCGATTAATGTATCGAAACAAATAGACTTCTAGAAAATTCCTCAAACTGGTCTGGCCTCTAATCGTACTTGCCGTCAACACTGCCATTGAAACATGGCCCTTCAAACCAATAATTAAAAAAATGTAATTAATGAGTGTTAGTTAGGTAATTAACTTAGCCTGATGATTATTCCTTCATCTTATATCTGTCCAGTCTGACAAATATATGGTGAATACCGCTCTCGTTTCAGTTTAACCCAAATCTTAAAAATGAACATCCTGTAGATGTCCCGCCCACTCCTTCCTTCATAATGGAATTTCTGAATCGAATACCATAGTGTTTACATGTTGAATAAATATATTGTCCATAGCTCACCATAATTTGAAAAAAAAAAGCATGCCGGTGCCAAGGGCTCAAAGCGGGCGCCTAAGTGTATAAACTTAATATTTGGCCCTGGTAAGAGAGTAATGCTGCTATATCAAAATGCACTGTAAATATAAAATGTTACTTTTATCCACAAAAAAGTCACATTTTTTTTCCTTTGTGCTCTTAACGAGTCATCAACATCTTTATAAAAGTCAATCCGGGAATTTTTACATATGTCTTTTCTTGTCGGCAGTCAATAGGAAATTTATAACCAAGCAACAAAATAAGATGGGTAGGCTCAAAGATACTCCAGAACCTCTCAGCTTTTTCTTTAATTCAATATATTTATTACTACGACTAGCTTCCTCTCGTGGTTGTAGACTCGATTGGCAAATGACTCAGAACTTTAGAAGTGATGATCAGGAATGGGCTGGTTAACCTGTATATTTTGCTTCTTAAACGGTCCGAATATCAAGAAGTGTTTCCGTTTGTGTTTTGGAATTGTTACAAGTTCCACCTGAGTTGCCTATACAACCTAAAGACCTGTAACCTAAACGCAGGTTGCCACACAAATATTTTTCTTAAGGTGTTTCAGACATCTCAACTGTGTTGCTATGTAGAAATGCTGGCTCTTAAGGTACTAAAAGTTAGGGCACACTCATGGTCAAAAGAATTACGAACAGCGGAGTTGTGAACGAATGATAAAACGGCTGCCTCAAAGGGGAAATATGGATATAATTTAAAACAAGAGACAGGTTTACGACAGATTTTATGTCTGTGATTAACCACAAAAGCGCGTTGGCCTTACGCTCTTCGGTGGTTGGATTCAAGAACAATGCGGTTCCTTGATAAAAAATTAATGTTAATTTGATTGATGCCATCAAAATTCAATTTATACGGGGCGCAGTTTCCTGACGATCTCTACGCACTCCGGCTTCTGTGTAACCAACGCATCATTGTGTTGCCATTAAAATTTCCTTCCTTGACTGAAACAAGAAACGCACAGTGAGATCACTCTCCAATGCATAGGACAATGCTCAGTTTTGCTCTCAATTGTTTCTAAGCGGTCACTAGCATGGTAAGCAGTGCTGGGCTAGAAAAGTTACTAATAAATTTGCCGGAGAAGTACCACCAAGTTTCCCAAGGAGGTCTGCAGGCTCCGGACGTCACTCGATCTGCGGTTCGTAGTTCATTTGACCCTGACTTTTACATTTATATAGACGAATCAGCAGCCTTTTGTTAGAAAGAAGACAGTGGTCAAGTTCGATCGCCTCACATGTACCAAGCTCTTGAGCCTTAACAAATGAAACATTCTTTCACCACGGATTGAAGATTGAATACATATCCACCTTTTTTTCTTAACAGGGAGACAGCGGTGGCCCATTAGTGTATAAGAACGGCGGTGGCCGCTGGACATTGATCGGATTGGTGACCTACACCAAATGGCCATGCAACGTCACAAATCTTCCGATGCTTTTTGTTAGAATTATGCCTTTTCTGGAAGACTTCATCACACCTTGCATTCAGAATTCTACGTGTAAATGCAAGGCACCAAACGAAGAGGGTGTTTATGATGATATTCTGAGAACTTAAGAAAGGCGGAGTGATGGTTAACGCTTTTTATATTTTAATCCGATTGTCGGTGTTTTTTATGGGCTGATGCCGAAATGTTAGTGAATGCGAAGCAACGAAACAATGCACGGGGGCTCACTACACCCCGCGATTCTCTATCTGTCAGTAACGGTAATTTGCCCGTTACCGTCTTAAATAAAGCTTAAAACTTGACTATTGAGCTAAAGCATCTGCATCGTGAGTACCATCCGCGTCACATCCAGGTGTATTCAAATGGCGTCTCATACATAGTTATTAATAAGATAAAGATTTTACTTCATGTAGAGCGGCTTGTTTTCGAGCGCAGCTTTTAGGCACCCGTTTCCAGGTTGAGCGGCTTTGGCGTCGGCGTAACCACACCCGTTGCATATGGAACGCCATAGTTTCCCCGCTATATTTAGCGGGGAAACTGAATCGGTGTTGAGGTCCCGCGACATAAATTTCTCCGCTAAATTTGGCGGGAGAGGAGGAAGGGAGTCTACGGAAGGGAAGTAGAGGAATACCCTCCGCTCCAAACCCTCCCCTCCTCTTCCTTAAGAGCTGCGCTCCAATTTAGCATTACAGTGGATGTAAAGGTGTTTAATTTTTTATGTTAAATTTCAGTTTTGTACGAGCACAAAATATTTGCTTAAATTAAATTTAGGTGTTTATTCTTCAGACAAGCTCTAGGGATCGAATCACAGGCAAAAAGCTTGCCCGGGTTTGTGATCCCATTACGTAGGCGCCAGATCTAATAAAACATCACAAACGCCGGACACATAAAACAATGCAAAAAAAAGCAATACAGTCAAAACAAAACAATCCCAAACACTTGAAAGTAAACATCTTCGACAGAAATCTGTCTGGTTTGGGGAACAATTTGAAAAAAAGAAAACTCAAACCAAAAGTTTAGAAACAACAGTTCCCAACGTTTCGGGGTCGACTTCACTCCTTCTTCAGGGGTGACTAAAAATGGAATGGGACAGCGCGAGCTTCGACCTCTCCTTCCTCTTCTACCGAGGTGATGTTTTGTGAACGTGACGCAGGCCATGGACGTAAATAGATGGTAAGGCCCCGAGGGACCTGTTAATGTACCCCGGTGTATTCTGGATGTGCCACGACTCCAAGAACAGGCGTCTTCGAATATGTGGCTCCGTGTCTATCACGTGTGCGTTTCCGAAGTCGATCCGATGATCAAACACCTCACAATGTTCCGCGACGGCGCTACGCTCGCGATCGAAATTGAGCACATCGTTCTGGTGCTGGCGCATGCGTTCGGGAAAATATTTAGTTTCACCGATGTAGGCGGCGGGGCACTCCGCACACGGTATCTTATAGACCACGCCCTGTGCTCTCTTTTGGGAGGCGATCTTTCGGCCTTGGCATGAGCCGTCCTAATGTTGACACTGGCTTGTGCGCCACTTGGATCCCTCCTTTTCGGAGCACGCGCGCCAGTGTCTCGCTCGTCCCTTTTACATAGGGGACGCTGATGCGCGCGATGGGGCGGGGCTGTGTGTCACGCGACGATCCATGGTTATTGCGCGTGCAGCACTGTCGACGAGCGACGCGTTGGACAAAACTCCTTGAATAGCCGTTTTTTTGGAGGTCAGCAAGTATGGTCTGCTTCTCCTTTCTTCTGTCTCTTTCCGACGAGCAGATGGTCGTTGCTCTAGACAAGACAGTAGAGACCACCGACGTCTTGTGACTCGTTGGGTGGTTCGAGTCATAATCAAGGTAGAGTCCGGTGTGTATTGCCTACAGGAAGCCAACACACACCGAACGCTACCTTGATTATGACTCAAACCACCCAACGAGTCACAAGACGTCGGTGGTCTCTACTCTCTTGTCTAGAGCAACAACCATCTGCTCGTCGGAAAGGGACAGAAGAAAGGAGAAACAGACCATACTTGCTGACCTCCAAAAAACGGCTATTCAAGGAGTTTTGTCCAACGCGTCGCCCGTCGACAGTGCTGCACGCGCAATAACCATGGATCGTCGGGTGACACACAGCCCCGCCCCATCGCGCGCATCAGCGTCCCCTATGTAAAAGGGACGAGCGAGACACTGGCGCGCGTGCTCCGAAAAGAAGGGATCCAAGTGGCGCACAAGCCAGTGTCAACATTAGGACGGCTCATGCCAAGGCCGAAAGATCGCCTCCCAAAAGAGAGCACAGGGCGTGGTCTATAAGATACCGTGTGCGGAGTGCCCCGCCGCCTACATCGGTGAAACTAAATATTTTCCCGAACGCATGCGCCAGCACCAGAACGATGTGCTCAATTTCGATCGCGAGCGTAGCGCCGTCGCGGAACATTGTGAGGTGTTTGATCATCGGATCGACTTCGGAAAGGCACACGTGATAGACACGGAGCCACATATTCGAAGACGCCTGTTCTTGGAGTCGTGGCACATTCAGAATATACCGGGGAACATTAACAGGTCCCTCGGGGCCTTACCATCTATTTACGTCCATGGCCTGCGTCACGTTCACAAAACATCACCTCGGTAGAAGAGGAAGGAGAGGTCGAAGCTCGCGCTGTCCCATTCCATTTTTAGTCACCTCTGAAGAAGGAGTCAAGTCGACCCCGAAACGTTGAAAACTGTTGTTTCTAAACTTTTGGTTTGAGTTTTCTTTTTTTCAAATTCCAAACACACACAAAAAAACGCAATTTATCATTTAGCGTGTATATCTAGGAGTTCTTCTTTTAGTTACATGTAGTTTGACGAATTGCTTATTCTATCAGTATTGTATGCTATAAAATTTTCTGTTCTAAAATAAATTAAAAAAAAATATATAATTGCCTGTAAAAATACTTGTCGATTCCGATTTTCTCAGTAAACTCCAATTTCTGAAATCATGAAGGCCAAGAGAGCAGGACGGGATACTCCGCGTCCGGTCTAGCTTTTTGAGCGGTCAAAACGCAGGATAAACGATTACGAGTCTAAAGCACGGACGAATACGGACTATCTAGCAGAATGGGTCACTTTGTTGCTTGGTCTCTAAAGCGATCAATCTACACGTGTCTTTGTGCCTCTAAAAGGGAGGCTTTTTTTATATACACCAATGTGCTTTTACAAAGATGCCCGCGTGTGCCCAAACCAGATGTGCGCACTGCGCGTGCGCAGAAATCAGATACGCGTGTTGTGGAGGGAATGCTCACGCACCGCGCCCACAGCAGCACCACCGTGGTGCGGCACCATCAAAGGATTCTATTGGACTATAGTGTAAGTTACAATTTCGTAAATGTCGTCCCAGATAGCACAGAGCTCTATGCAAAAATTTGTCAGCTGTTTGGGAGTTTTGGGCTTTGAAAAGCCCGAATAAGCCAAAGTAGAACCACAGCTGACCCTCTTTGGCAAGACTGGGGCTATTTCTGCCCTAATTCGCCAAACAAATGCCAGTGTTACGCTGCGCTGCCTGGTAGTTCGGCTGTCATCTGGCCTGTTTGGGTCAAAACCGACAAACCAGTGCCAAAGTTAGGCTTACTGCTTAGAAGTTCGGATGTCATATGGGAGCTTTTTTTTTTACATTTCATTTTATTCATTATGTCTCTCTGGGCCCGAAGGCATTAAAGAGAGAAGTGAGGAACACTAGATGGAACAAAGCAAATAACAATGAAACGGAAAAGAATACACAAAATATTACTAAAAATCATTTAACATGTTAGTAATGGCCCAGTGCATGAAATAAACAAATATAATAAAAGGCAAAACATAGACAAAATTACTACTAAACATCATGTAACAGGTTAGTAATGGAAATCTTAAATTTATCTGAGGCAGTGATTGTGACAATGGCGGCGGGAAGGCGGTTCAAGTCAATCGATGTCTCAGGCAAAAAAGAGGCATTAAAGGTAGATGTGCTGCAGTGAGGGATCCCAACTTTTAATTGATGATCGGTGGGTGATGATATATAAAATGGTTCAGAAAATAGTGCTAGACGGAGAGTAGGGTTAGAGTGATAAATCTTATGGAATAAGCATAGACTATCTTTCGACGAAGCCCACTCTTTCGATGAAAAGAAAGAATGGGCAAAGATAGAGATAATTTTATTAAAGTGGTGCTAGCTGCGCGGTGATAGTTGGGAAGTATAAAATGGACAGGGCGGCTTGAATGGATTTTATGGCAGACTCAAGGGTGATACCAGGGTTCCAGATTGAGTGCAATAATACTTAAAAAAACAAGCGAGCTGACGATGATTCCTGGTAATAAAACCCGATATTCAGGAACACAGAAGGGGAAGAACACTACACAACGTATTGGTGTGTTAGTTCCTGAGTTCCTGAGTTTCCAGATTGAGGCGGCATATTCAATTTTAGGTCGAATGAGGGCTTTATAAATTAGAAGCTTTAACGAAAGAGGGACAACGAAAAAGGTTTTTCGGTGTATCCTACACTCTCAACAAAAGAGTTGTCGTAGGGTACTACACTTGGGGTAGTCAGAAGACGTCACAGATATCGCTACCCCCCCCCCTTCGTTATACTAACAACCCCATGGGCAGTCACACGGCACGCAATCAGCAGGTAATCACAGTGAGCCCCCCCAAAAGCAACATGGCGGCTGGCAAGCGACAGTGGAGCAATACGAGTAAGGCCTAGCGAGCTGGACTGCTTTTTGCTAAAATACGATTCTCAAGTGCGTACGCCCGTTCGCTGCCTTCCGTGCGCACAAAGCACACCGAAACGCGCCTCGAAGCACCGGCACCGCACCTAATACGAGTTGGGGCGACGATGTGAGAGGGGTGGGGGGGGGGGGGGGGGGGGGGGCGCATTCGAGGGGGTTTGTCCGCGATTGCTTTCGCGAGGCCCGCTGCATTCACTTTGCGGTCAGAAAACATTCAAAGAAGGAAAGAAAATAGCGACAAATGGAATGATGTCTTTATTGAACAGAGCATCTGCTTGCTGTGCTTGCCGCAAGTGATCCGGCGTTTTCGGTTGACACGGCGAGGCGAAGCATCACCGATTTAAGCGGCGTCGGTTCCGATCGTTCAACGCTCCTGCTCACCT